TGTGTGTTTGAGAGAGTGTGTGTGTGTGTGTGTGTGTGTGTGTGTGTGCGCGCGGCGGGGGGGTGGGGCTTTCCCAGCGTTTGACGTGTCCAACTCTCGCGATATTTCGGGTCTCTCAGTTACCTTCCCGTCTTGGATACCCAGTTTCACCGTAGAGAAACATCAACATAGTAACCCGGGAAAGGCAACCGTAGAGGCGGGTAGCGACGTTTCTTTCTAAGAATCTCACCGCCGACCTGGATATTTTGTTACCGGGACAACCGCCGAGACAACAACAACAACAACAATGGGCGCGTGTCGCTGGAAAAAGTTGCTAGCTTAGTTGTCACAACTGTTAGCTCACATTGGGTCGCTAGCTGGCTAACTGTTAGCAAACAGACAGAAACTGAAGAAGTCCGGACGAGTTTGGATTTTATTACGTTATCACCGGGGCGTCAGCATGTATGTGGACGTCTAGACACAGCGGATCGTTTCCCTGAAAGGTATGCGTTCAGTCTCTCACAAGAAAGTTAATTCATGAGTTTCCAGTCAGCTAGCGTCAACATTAACTCTCTCGATGGGCGGCCCCGACTACTCCCTGGACCGAAGACTTTTAGAAATAAGTGCTCTTGAAGTCAGATGTCAGAATGAGTTTCAGACGGGATTTATTGGGGCGTGAAACTACTACAAAACTAAACACTGTTGTGTAAAAGTTGTGGTCGTTTTAACAACTTCTGAACGCGTTTACATAAACACTATCACCCCGGTTGTTAATTCACTATCTGAAAGTAGATCAGAGACGGGTTGTGTTGTCCGATGGCCCGGGTTGAGTAATACCCGGACGGGGTGCTCCGGTCGTAGACGTCACACCGGCGATGTGCCGGTAGTGTCTCGACTGTGACGTGGGCAGCTATGTGGCCATTACTTGCTGTTTCATTTAGTATTGTCCTAGTTTATTACATTAAATAACGCCAGCGACAGCTAGCGTTGTACGGGTCGCTGTGTGACACCAGTGTGAAACCACCTATTTCAAGTTTCCTGATGTTTTACAAAATAACATAAAACATGTTAAGTCACAGGGTGGAAGGTAAACCTGCCAGTAAAATATCCGGAGACAGAAACAGGATGTCAGGTGGATGTAAAGCCCAACAAACACCACTCACTACGGCGGAGTGCGGGTGATAAAAGTTAAAGTCAAAGATGGCAAATTACTTCTTCCTCGCCCAGCGGCCGGGGGTCCTGCTACGAAACCTTTTTGCACAGTAGTGACTAGTGGTCGGGAGCTATATAGCACCAGTCTTAGGGCTCTACATGGGTGTTTTTGTAGTGTAAAGGTCCAGCTATAGGTGACAGCACCGAGCTGTACTGCCGAGCGACGCTGCAGTCGGTGGGCGAAGAAGACATTATGAGCCATCTTGGAGTTTACACGGGTTTTTGCTTTCACGGAAATCACCCGCACTCCACCGGGAAAAGTTTGTTTACACCACTTTAGACTCGCCTCATGTTGTTTTTAGTGGTGCTAAAAGGTCGCGGATGGGCTCACCTTCAATCCTGCGAGTATGTAATTTGAATGTACTTTCGTTAGTGGACTTAATGAGTTATAACTACAGTAAACGGTACTATCTTGGACCAAGCCTGCGTTTGTAGACTCTTGGGTTGTTCGTTTGAAGGAATCAGCTGACACCAACTTACTGTCTTACAAACTTACTTTATATCGATTGTTTGTTACTAACTTTAAATGCTAGCATTAAGTTAGCTTTGTTCGTACAGAGAAGTGCGTTTTGTAAAAATGCTGGCGTGTGCACTTTTTAGTTCAAGTCTCCACTGACCAACTCATCTTGACAGTCATGGTGACAACCTGAAAAAGTTAGTTCTAGGTATAAATTTGCTAACTTTACATACAGTTTAATAGGATATCAGATTAGACACTCTTCTATCTCCTACCATAAGTTTTGGATTCAGTCCCCTTATGATTCAGATAACAGGAAACACACAGACAACTGTCTGTAGTCTGCTCTTGTCAACATAATTTAGTTCACACAGTCTGGCTGCACGGTCATCAGTGTATGACTATATGTTAATGGAGAAATTCTGTTGATGTAGAAGCAGACATTAATTTAGTTTTCTTTCTGTTTGCTCTCTCAGCCTGATGTGATCGCCTCAGGGTGGTGTCACGTGATTGTTATGAGTAAAAGGCATGACATCTGAAGAACTCCTTATGACTCGAGTGTTAAATATGAGTGCAAAACACCCATCACGAACAAAATAACCAAGCTGGACTTGCTCTTAGATCCACGGTAGAATAAACGTATCAAAGTGGCTGCTGTCGTCTCAGAGAGAGTTGGACCTACAGTAGGTTGGACCAGACACATGCACTCCAGCATTACAGGTGTTTGAGGTAAACATCACGTGGCTCACATGTGACCAACTCCAGTTTTGCTTACCTTCCCTCATGGAAATGTTTGAGGAATGTGCTGTTGTAGAACCTGTTTTAAATGGCACGGTGACATTAGTGTGTTGTCAACAAACTGTCATGGTATGCATTTTCCTCCAGTATGTTGTTCCTTGTTTTGGTTTCACTTAACATTTTTGGTTGACATTTTAGCTGCCAGTTTGCTGAGCTGTTACTGCCCTTTTCTCCAGATTGTGTATATGGTATACTTTTTATTTAAGTTTCTTTGTTGATGTAATTTATGTCACTTTTAACTTTGCTCAGTGTTGAGTTTTCATTATTTGCTTGTGTCTAATCTTGGCTGCAGGTGAACGGGAGAGATGAGGAGCAGCAGGAGGACGGAGGTGTCTCTTAAAAGCTCTGCTCAGCAGCTCACAGATCCCAATATTGGCACAGGTGTGTTTAAAAAAAAAAACCCCACCAACAACAAAAGGGGTGCTTGGTAGCTTACCTGGTAGAATTTGCTTCCTATGTAGGCTGAGTCCTTACCACAGCAGCCCAGGGTCGATTTCAACCTGCGGCCCTTTGCTTCATGTTATTATGGATTGTATACACAGCAAGAGTTTCTGTATCATATGTTATAATGAGTTTTATTTTCTTTGTCAGAGCTGACAACTGCATGGAAAAGTTTGGCTCAGTCCAAAGCTGCTGTGAGTACACCTGGAATAGCTCTTAGATAGAATTACATTTGTTTTGTAAAAGTAATGTGTGCTATAATCTAATGATGATGAAGATTACTCCCTTTCATCTTCACAAAACCTAAGGAGACTGACATGTGTCCTGTCTTTGTAGTTACGGCATATAGAAAACCGTCTAGAGGCAGCTCCAGGGACAGGGGTTCTCCTGGAATCTGTCATGGACCCCCCCAAGAAGAAGTCCTCCAGGGCGGTCCGTCGCAGGGGTGAGTTATTTCAAAACGTAAACCTACATTAGTTAAATTCTGCACTTACACTACAACCATTTTAACACCGCTCTTTTAATCACAGATGGACGACAAGCTGATGACAATGGAGGGTCATCAAAGCACAGGGGGCGTAGTCAGCAGAGTCCAGAAAAGAGCAGCTCACGTAGCCCCCTGAGAAATACCACCCAGGACAGCAATGTCCGCAGAAACAACAGCGTTGAGTTCAGGGAACCGCTGGCCTCCTACAGGTATAAATACTGCACTAATACACATTCATGAAACATCCTCAGACACCTTTCACTAGGTACATTGCAGTATTATCGGTCATACTCAGGACTGGATATCTGTGGAAGGTGCTTTCCAAGTACTTAGTAATATTCTCTTTTTCCAAATCGTATGCAAAAATGAACCTAAAACTATACCCAAACATAAATAGCTGTTGTTTTATATGCATACCAAAACAATGTTATGAATATTAATTAGGGATGTCCCGGTCCGAGCTCAATGATCGGTATCGGCGCTGATCAAGTCATCATTTTTTTAACTGACCTGACTCTGCTATATTGAGCTTTATTGACCCAATCTGAAGTTTTGTTTTACGTCAGCTGTCGCACAGCTGTTTTTACTCGCAGAGCTTTAGGAAGGTGGCAACTTTCTCGAGTGTCTGTGTGTGTGAGAGCAGGAGCAACCCCGTCCTTCTAAATAGTGTTGTGAATTCTGTAGAGTGACAACAGAATAAATTAGAGCTTTTTTCCTCCATCGAGGCTAAGATATTTTCATGGTAATTATTGCGACACCTCATTGTTTTAACTTGATACATCAGAGGGAGCTCTTTAACCTAAATAATAGATAGACCCCAATGCTCTCTTCAAGATTTCTATTCAGAGACCATATGTTCTTGACATCTCCTCTGAACAGCTTGTAGCTCAATAGCTCACAGATACTTCAGTAGCTTAAGGCTGCAGTGTTTGCAGTGAGACTGAGATTTAAGATTTGTTTCTAGTGTTGTCACTGAACGTAACAGAATTACTGGATTTCAGACGTGAATATGTTGCACATTTACAGTAAATGATATACATTTCTAATGTTTATGACTAACAATATCAATATTAGAAATGTAATTAATAAAGTGGCTGTATGCTGTTGTTGTTTTTAGTGATGTTTTTACGTTTATGTTTTGCTATTATCGGCAAATATAGACAATAATACACGGTATTCCAATTACCTTCTGATGTTATTATACTTAGAGAGCCACCAGTAATCTTATTCTGTAGTCGGGGTGGGCAGTACAAAATGTAAAAGTTCCACATTTTCACGTTATTATTGTTTAATACATTTTAATAGTTTTAATGTGACGTCTTGAGTGACTATGTCACTTCCTCCTTCCATACCCTTTGACCACACATAAATGTGCTCTTCCGTACACTCAGTGATTGGTAAATTAAGAGTAAATCATCCTAAATCCCCTTCCTGATCCCATGTAATCTGGTGTGTCTTCAGAGAGGCCACCCCTCCACCACATCCCTCCTCTCAGCTGGAGGCCTACAGTCTGCAGTCAGTGCCAGGGTCTGCGTGCCCATCCACTACGCCTCCTTCAGACCCTCTTCTCAGCCAACTGGTCTACCAGAGAGACACCAGGGACAAACAAACAGACAGGGACCTGGACAGCACACACTCCTCGGCTCTGGAGAGCACTGAGGTCCGCTACCTCAATGACCAACCAGCCCTGGTCACCCTGAGGACTACTGGAAACCAGTCACATCTCACAGGTGGACGAGTCCAAGCAAGGGAGGGGGCTAAGGAGGAAAGCACTCCCAAAGCACAATTTGGCATGGATAGCCAAGAGTCAAGCCCGTGTTTAGCTCCAGCCCCAGGCTCCATACGCAGAGGGGAGAGCACTCCCTCCACCAGCCCTGGCTCAGCTTCCCAGCGGCTGGAGAACCTAAGGCGACATCAGCCTGATGATAAGCTGGAGAAGCTTAAAGAGCGTATTCGGAGGCAGAGGCAACATCTGGAGGAGGCGGCAGAGAGGGAGAAGCTGCTGGGTTATCTGGAACAGCCCATTATGGAAGCTGTGGGGAGTAACAATGCTGGTACCAGCAACATGCCCACAGCCAAAATACGGAAAGTAGCAGCTGCACCACCTGCACCTATATACAAAGGTACCATCAGTGTAGGATGTATCTCAAACTTCAACTTTCTCTTTTGTTAAATAAAGACATAATGACGTGAAGTGATGGCTTGTTCCTCAAATACATATTTTAGCCATAAAATAGAAAACGGGTTGCTACAGTTTCCATCTTCAATCCCTTTCTTTTTAGGTTTCAACAGTGCTGAGACAAAGATCCAGACTCCTGATGGGAAAGTTTGGAAGGAGGATGAGTTTCATAACCTCAGCAGAGAAATATACAGAGACCTGTCAAGACAGTTTGCTGGTAAGCATTGGCCACAAACATTTCTTCTCTTTGCTAACATTCCTTATTTCTCACATTTTCTTCTATGGTCAAGATGTCACAGATTTTTTTCAAATTACTGTTTGTTGTTGTGGTAAATGGTGGTTATTTGTGATCTCTGACATGCTTGGGCCCTTGTATGTTTCTGGGCTTTGGTCCAGGTTTTAAGACCCTATGGCATCAAGTATAGAGCGCTCTGTGAAGAACTAATTGCACATGAATGAATGGCATTCTGACCATCATCTGCCAGGAAGACAGTTTACTGTTGGATTTGAGAAAATCAATTTTAATGGGCTGCTTAAATAAATTCTATATTGGGAAACACAGTTGTATTGATCTGTCAGAATCACAAACCAATATTGTTTTTCTTTTCTTTTCCAAATTAAGTGTTGGATAAACAAATATGTCTTTGGTTTCTAACTTTTTCTATTTTTTTATTATTATGTGTCGCATTGTGGCTTATTGTCTGCATGTGTCTTCTGTGTACAGAGAGCACCAGATCCAGGCATCAGCAGCAGAGGGAACAGAGACCAGACAGGTCCAAAGAGAGGAGGCCTACCAAACCAGTCAGGAAGGTCCACAGAGCTGCTCCTTCATCTGACCTAAATGCAAAACCAGGTATAATAATCCTCTTTTATGTGAGAGAGCCAACCCACCCTCTGATCTATTTTTAATTAGTGACAGTAGAAAAGCTAAGCATATGGAACAGCCTGGCAGGATTTTCTGAAGGGTCAGTGCACACCAAGAGCCTCAAATGTTAAACTATGTGTGTGCTTAGAAAGTTTTTCTCAACTGGCTTTGCCACTTTAGTGTCTGTGCCTTTTTAAGTCAGCTGTATTTTCGCTCTATGTTCATTCCCTTGTTTATTTCTGTGCACATTTTGTTATCCTGCACACATGCTCTTACTGATGTCAGTTCAATAATTATTTGGCTGCTATCATTTCTTAGTCTTTCAAGTGTTGACATGTAACCTAAACATGACAAAACAGAATGATCCAAATATGATTTTTTTCATTTGAGTCCAAATTGGTTAATCTCATAAATGCTTCAAACAAACTGCTGAAACCAGTGTTCAGACTACAGTATTGGGTGTATTTTTCCTCTTCGTTTTTCCATACCAGACCTGTGTGTGTGTGTCCCAGTAGTACATGACCCAGAGATATTGCTGGCTTCTGAGGCTGTGTTAAGACTTAAATCCCCAAAGAAATGTCAAGTATGTGTGACATGGAGCATATAAACACCTACATAAAAGAATAATAACCACATGGTGCTGTAACCTGGGCATCGCAGACATCTGACAGCTGAGAAAACTCTCCCCTTCCTCATTCACAAAGATGCTTCCAAATGGCACATGTATAAACATAATTGCTAGCTATCTTCATCTCTGTGTATATGTAGACCTGGACACAAGAAGAGGCACTTGTGATATTAAATAATGATGTCTCTTCGACATATCATACCAATGAATCAGTCACTCTTGTGCCAAAACAGTATACAGTATAGGGCAAAAAAAGATCAACTCTGGAAAGTTAAAATAAAAAAATAAAAAACTATTTCCCCATTCACTCTGTACCTGGTGTGTACTGGTGTTTTGTGTTGTCTCTCAAGTCTGGCTGGTCTCTGTTTCGTGCTGGCACAGAACTATAAATAGCCCTCTGAAATCTGTGGCCAGGTTCAGTTGGCTCATCCGCCCAGTACAAACAGCTGCTTGGGTAGTGGATGTACAACTTCATTACCAGGAACTGCTCTTCGGCAGAAGACAGTCATAGTGAAAAATATGTTAGAGATTATTCCAAGTAAAGAGGCATTGCTGTTTTTGAAATGTTATCTCCCCATGCTCTGAGCACCAAATGAGATTGTTGTACACACGTTGTACTGGGCTGGTGGCGGAAAGCTGTGGGGGAAAAAAAAAATTAATTAGTGTGTTAAATTGCTCGTACTCAAACAATTGTTTTTCTTCACTTCTGTTCTCTAACCTATCTTTGTATTTATGTGAGTCTGCTCCGGTGGTGGCATGTCTACATATAAATGCTAACACATTCAGTTCTGTTCCATGAGATCACTATGAACTATATTGAATTACAATGCTTTTCTCTGGCAGCATCTGAAGTGTTAATTTTCTTTGCATCTCTGCACTTTTCTTTCTCTGCAGTGATAAGTCCTGCATCGTGGCGAGAAGGCCAAAAGCTGGTAAAGATGGTACTGGGTCCAGTTCCCAAGCTGCCCAGGGAGGACAGGCCCCAGACAGCTGATGGACTGAGCAGAACAGGTGGGACCTAGAGACCTACTGTAAACTCTTCTATACATGCCACTACACCCGCGTCTTATATTACTCTGTTAGCCCTTTTCATAATACAAACAGCCTATAACTCAGTCATCTCTGCTGTAACCATTTCTCCAATGGTCTTCTTGCACCTCTAGACATACTGTCATTAACCAATGTGTCAGGGGGTTAAAAGAAAGTGTAAAGGACATAGACAGAAAAGGTGATTAGCAGTCTACTAGACTTTAAAGAGGCACTCAAAATGTATCAGTTAAGCTCAGCTGTCAGTGTCTTCTCTGCTTAATCACCAATGGATGAATAAGGGTTTACTCTTGAATTTCTACCCACCTCCTCCCCTTTCTTTGAGTCCTCATTTTTTAAATCTGTTTTCCAATGTTGCGATTGAACTTTCAATTAAACATAGATTTCTTCACTTGCTGCTATTACCCGTGCCTGAGATTATTCGTGTAATGGGATGATAGATATTTATGATAGAAGATTTGCATTTCTGGGACCCACAGTTAAACAGCAAGACTGACAACAGAGCCAGCCAAAGAATATCAATAAATAAAGAGTCTGTGTCTGCTGCTGTACACACACAGACTGTGTGTGTACAGCAGCAGTCTCTCACTCTGTCTCACAGTTTCTCTGTCTGTGCTAGCTGCATCTGTACTGGGTACCACTGACCGTAAGGAATAGAGATTGACTGGCTGTTCTGGTTGGATTCACAATTAGACATGGCCTGATTTCCAGATGTTGCCCCAGTGCAGTCAGTACATACTCTGGGGAATGGCAGAGTGGGGCAGGGAAGTGCAGTGAGGCTCACTGCAGCCATGCTCTGAAAAAAACACTGTCTGGATTAGATACTGTAAGTCTAGATGGGAATTTTCAATTTGGCCCAGATTAGAGTTGCCATGGCAAGCCTGCCCCACAAGCCTCATTTAGTATGTGTATTTGGTCTGGATTTAGTGCTTTGGCTTTGAAGTTATTTTGAAACTGGTGCAGTCATTTGTTGGTGTAGCATCCAGGCATTTTGAGCTGTGAAAAACCTGTTTATTACAAGTTCTGATCTAAACAGGAAAGCAGTACTACTAGTTAAGAATTTAAAGACTGGTCACACAGTCATACCAATGACTGTATGAATTGTGAAACCAAATTTGAAATTTTATTTTTATTCCTAGCTTCTACCTAAAAGTCTTATCTAATCTTATCTTATCTCGGAGCTATTTAGCAGCATGCCCTATGTTAGTTTGTGTGTACGTTTTTTTCCATTAATAGATTGATTACCAGTTATCAACTAAACATTTTACCTTTCTGTCTACCAGCTTCCCATCGCCGTTCCAGTTCAGACCCGCGCTCAGAGTCAAAACCACGGTCTCAACCTAACGGCACAGAAAGGCCTCATAGTGGATTCCGAGGGCACTCCAAAAGCCTCTCTACAAATACATCTACCCCTTCACCTGCAGATCGTGAAAGGGCCCCAGTGGGTATAAGCGCGGATCTGTTGTCAGCAGACATCCAAGGGATACTCGATGACCTTCAGCTGGAGTGCAAAGCAGCTGAGAAGGAGGAGAGGGCTCGTCAAAGGTCCCGGGGTGGGAGAAGTGGTAGGAGAGGGAGAGGAGGATCAGGGTCGCAAACAAGGACTCCAGTCTCTGCTTGGGGAACTACTGTGGCAACGGGTAGCTCCTCAAGAGGCTGCCGCAGTGCCAGCCCCAGTACACGCCGACCAGAGACTGCTAACATAGCTGACACAGGACACAAAAAGCGACACTATGATGCCGATTCTGTTCGCCAGTACATTTCTAAGCAACAAGAAGAGAGAAAGAGGCGTCAAGCAGAAGAGAAGAGGGCACTGAGGGAGGAGGCAGAGAGAAGAAACCAGAGATTGCAGGAGCTCTACAGGAAGCAAAAAGAAGTGGCTAAGACAGTGGCCCTTCCCAGTGAGGCACCTGTGGCCCCTGTGCAAAAGCGACTACAGGAGACCTACAATAAGCTGCTACTGGAGGAGGCCCAACTGGGCGACGAGGCCACACAGATGCAACCTGCTGCTCCTTCCAGTCAAATGGTATTGTACATTTGCACAAAACATAGTTTCCTTATTTATATGTGAAAGCTGTAGAAATAATACATTTCGTGTGTTAACATGTGTTCTGCCACAGAGACCGATGTACCAGCCCTCAGGAGAGTCGGACAAAGAAAACAAAAGACTAGAAGCACCACAGAGCCCCTCGAGCAGTGATAGATCTTTGAATGACCAGCCACCTCCTCCATTATCCAGGTACACATATGCACAGACATAAACCACCAGAATAACAAACCCCATATACTCAGATTTATTGACATAGATAAACAACTAACAACTCAGTACACATAATCTGGTTTCTCCTGGGTGATAAATTCTAGCGAATCACCTGACTGCACAAAACAGAGAGACTGTTTGTTCCCAGATGGTCGGTTTTTATTCCCCAGAAGCCTTATTGCTCTGCATTTTAGTACACGATTAAAGAAAAATACTTTTACAGTCACTGATCCTAGTTTAGATACATGAAAAAACATCTCAGATAATTGACTGGAAATAAAGATGTGTGTGTATTATGATAGTATATTATATGTTTATTTGTGAAACATATAATAATAATAATAATAATAATCTTAATTAATAATCTTTCTCTGTGTTATGAGTGTTATTCTGATTTATCGTTTCCATCCAGTTACAGTGTATGCTCTACATGTACCATTGACAGTTACGTGTGAAGCTGGTGAATGCATTTATTCAAAAACTGTAGCTGTAAAAAACATTATGTTGCAATACATAAATGTGGTTTTGCATCTTGTCTGCGGTTATTTAATGTATTCAAAATGAAAGTTGTTCTTTCATTTGCTTTCTTCAGTAGCATGAATGATGAATACACCTACCTACATGTAGTTTGATCATTGTTTTAAAGCAAGCTGTATATCTGTTTTTCCCTCTCCTTTTAACTTCTCCATGCTTTATTTGCTCTCTCTTTGCAGGAATGATTTGGATGTTGGAGTTGCCTCTTTGCTTCAGCCTGACCGTCTGAGCCCAGCTGTTCGACCTATGACTGGTCCCAGCAGCAGTGCACTCGCCCCTTTTGGTGACCATCTCCTCTCTCGGCTTCTCAGGCTGGAAACTGCAGTGGCAGCTAGTGACGTCCAGCACACCCAGCGGCCAGTCACAGTACCTACTAACAGGTCCAAGATGTCCCGCATTGAGGCCCTCAAGGCCACAGCCGCATCCCTATCCAACCGCATAGAAAGTGAGGCACGGAAGCTTGCTGGGGAGGGGATCAACTATGGTACAGCAACTTCAATGGACGTGGATACTATTTTGGCACCTAGACCCTCTCAAGCAAATCCTGACGATGGACGCTGGGCAGAAACAGCTGCCACAGAAAATAATGACATGCCATTCCAGAGGATCCATAGGATTTTGACTAGCACAGGTCATAGTTCATACAATGGCACATCTCTTCCAGGAGCAGGCAATCTGCATGCCCTCAGGGGACAGAAAGAAACGAAGGGTACACACACCACTTTGACTAATCCACAAACACCCCCTGCTGATTTAACAGGCACTATTCTCAACAGTTACACACATGAAAGGAGGAAGCTAGTCAATGGCTTGGAAAAGGTAGAGAGAATAGATAAAATGGCACAAAGGAGAGGATTTGGATTAACGGAGGATAAGAATCAGACAGATCTCCATGACTCAAGTGCCAGTTCCATCAGTGAGGGTCCTCTTCTGAGTGAAGGAAGTTTTTCTGAGGATGAGGCAAGCCCTCCTCACCCCTCCAGCAATCGTGTAACTAGAGCAGCAGACTGCCTGGAGGCAGTAGACTACTGTGCTGGTCAAAGAAGGGATTACCACCGTTTGTCAGAGTTCCAGAGGGAGGCAGTGAGGTGCTCGGCCCTCAGCTCACCCTTTGCACAGCATGATGGCAGCAAAGCAGCCTGGGAGGAGCTGAACAGAGGAAGCCCTCTAAGTGTTATCAACATTTTCACTAAGAACCTTCATGGCCATGTTAGAGGTTAGTTCACATATGAGTACCTTTCCACTAAGGAAAATATGTCAGAGTCAGGTTTTGAACACAAATTTTAGTATTTGTTTGTTTGTTGTTTGTCATTTTAAACTGTAGTAGTTAAACAACGTAGACTGTCTACGGCAAGTTCCTAAATATTCATCCTCTGTCTGTTCTGTCTCCAACTTATCCTACAGTGAGTGAGAGGAACTCTCCCCCTGCCCATTCTTTGCACTCTGAAAGTGGCCCCGTAGACGCAGCAGTCTATGAAGATGACTTTGTTTCATCCCATAGCAGCGGAGCCAGTGGACAGTTAAAGAGAGCTTCCAATTCACGCAGGTAAGAGAAATAAAGTGAACATTAGTTTTTAAAGTGACCACTGGATGGCGTCCATGTCACACAAATGGAAAGCTCACACAGCCCTTTCAGATGGCAACTTCCTTCTGTTTGCAGGCCTAGAATGAGGAGTAACTGATGAAACTTCCAGATAGATTAACCCTGCTGTTTAGTCCACATTCATAAGACTTAAGGTTTTCTGCTTTTGATTTTTTTGTGTAGTCAAATTCAAAATTGTATTTAAAAGTGATTTGATGATATTTCTTTTTTTCTCCCCTGTTTGTCAGCGTGAACAATCATTTTGAGGAGCTCATGAGGAGGTCTCCTTATGAGAAAAGCATAGGAGGTGTCAATTCACACCAGTCATCCTTTCACTCATCTATTCACTCACCGCATCTTTCCTCTGGTTCACCATCTGGCTCCTCACCCAAGCACTCTGCCAGAAAAAGAGGTGAGAACTAAAATTTTACATCATTTCCTGAACTTTCAAGATATTCTTTGTTTTCCCATATGGTTAGGGCTGGGTATCTTTCTTGCATGACTTCGATACTGGTTCCTGAACTTTATTGGATACCAATTTTATAAATTTAATTTCAGCATTATACATTATGGTACAATTATTTACTTCAAAAGAAGAAGCTGTTCCAAGACCTGGGAGCAGTTGGCAAAACTGTTTTTACTCTGTGCACTTTACTCTGGATAACTGGACTAAAATGATTAAATAAAACTGAAGATCTGTATAGTATGGGACTATATATAAATTACTAATGTCTAGGGAACATTATTAACAAACAGTATGGCACAATAGGAGAGGAGGCTATGCCGCAGTTTTCATCCCAGTGAACGGTTAGTTAAACTGACTCACCAACAAGCAGATACAAATTAGCTGCACTGGCTAGCTAACAAACAGTGTTTCTCATGCTCGCCTACGATGTGTAATGTTAACACTCCATTGTTATTGAATGGCAAGATATAATTTAACTACTCAATTTCTCTACAGGCACAGCATCAGACCAGAGTGATGCCACTCTGGTGGAAGAGCAGAGGAGCTCCTGCTCACCTCCCTCAGTGGCATTATCATCTGAGTCCAGGAAAAGGGGCTCAGACAAAAGCTCTGCCCACAGCCAGGCCACAAGTGTCCACTCTAATGACACTTCAGGAGAAACTTGTCACCAAAGGTAATACTCTTCTCTATTGGTTTAGTGGAGTGGTGTAAAAGTAAAAAAACCAAAAAACCTTCCAACTGTAAGGTTTCACTGTGATTGTTTTCAGCATCTCTCAGATATCAAATTGAAGAGACTGCTGTGTTATCAGAGCGTTGGATCAATGGTGCATGGTGTTCCCACAAGTTTAAGTTACCCATTAATCCAGTTGTCTCTGGTATTTCCTTCCTTCCTGGTTTTCAGTAACCTAAAGTGCAGCAGTGCTTTGTGTAAGTGGTGGTGCTGTTGGCTTACATAGAGATATTTTCTTATGCTGTATACAGATATAGTAGGTTAGAGATGTTTCTTTTAGGGTCACAGACTGTATTTCTTTCTTTATTTCCCGGTGCTTATTTGATTTATAAATTGGAACTTTTGTTGTGACTGTATACAGATAAAGTAATTAGCTATAATTAAAGTAATATTAAAATTAGCCCGTGAAGCCACACCATTTCCTTCCATAAGTATTTCCAAACTAAACTAAAATGGAATTTAAATATCGATGTGCTCTGGGATGAATGGGATCTTTTCAGCAGTGGGTTGTTTCGGTTGTTACTGTTACAACCACTCAGAAACTTCCACTTGGTATATACTATAATTACCCAAAGGTTAATTTATCTGGGCATGACCAATTACTAAACTACACGTACACAACCCTAGTTCAGGCTGCCAGTCTAAACAGTCTTGTGGCTTGCTGTTCGGTTGAAGGCCTGAGGGTTTAAGCAGCCGTGTTGTGCCCAGCAACAGGAGGCAGCTGCAGTTCAACCCAAGACAGAAAACACTGGTTGTTTTGTTTTGGGGGCCTGCAGGGTGGTTGGTCGGGTCAGCCAGTTTTACCACAGCTTTGGCCTGCTGCCAAAGGAAAGGAGAGAGTTCTTTTTCTTTTAATCTCAGTGCCCAGTAGTGACATTTGAGCCTTCTGATGGTACTCTAAAGCCCAGGTAGCAGATTCCTGCCACTCTGTGGAGCCTGTGTGTCTTGCATGATCAAGGTAAAACATTCAGACTGGATTGTGTCTTCCATAGCCCCTTTTACAAAGTAGGTTGTGGTGACTTTGTTTCTGTGACACTTATGAACACTGTCTCAAAAATAGTTTCTTTTATAGACAGTGCATAGAGGTCTCTGTTTGGCAAACTGCATTCATATCTGTTTCTGTTCATATTACAACTGACTAAGCAAAATCATGGTAATATTGTTGTATTATGATATATTTATTGAATCTGATCGTTGTCATGGGATAAAAAAGGTGCCACTGTCTACTATCCTTAATGGGAATGTAGAGTGTATCTTGATATCTTTAGACATTGCCCTTGGCCTCTGATCATCTCTGAGCAGTACAATAAAGCCATTCATAGTCTGGGCCTCTCACAGCCGGGTTATGCTGCCTCAGTCAGTTCTAGGGTTTGCAGGAGCAGGGGCCCCCTCTTTTTTTTTTTTTATCATTTGGTCAACCTACTTCTCTTTCAAAATAGTCAACCCACTCTGTAAAACTTGTAACATGCCACTTTCCTGTGTACAATTTAAAAGTCTAATTTAGAATTGGTTTTAAAAAACAATTAAAAAAAATGTGTTATACTAAATGTCTTAATATATGGTTTAACATCTTTAAAAAGTGATACCTTTGCACCAAGGCAACCTGAATGCTACAAATGTATGCACTTTAGAGGAGATGTTTAATTACTTACATTTTTTTCTTCTTTCTTTTTCTTTCTAAATATGTTTCTAGTTTGGGAATTGACAGTAAGAAGTCTTCAGCAGTCAGGACCAAACGGGCCTCTCCTTCTGGCTCTCTAGACCCTGGTTCTCCTCCAGGAGCAGACTCTCCCAGTGAGCCATTGAGAAGTGGCTCTCTTGCGGCAATTAACCCAAGCACAGGCACCACAGCTCGCAATGGTAGAGCAGACACCAAGACCACAGGTAAATAAATCTCATTTTAATAGAATAAACAACATGAAGCATAAGTCACAACTGCAAAGATAACGACAGAACAGATGTAACTATGTTGAAAAGTTGTAAACTTTACTGTGTACTTTTGTACTCTTTACATGTGAATTGTGTTATTTTCAAGGGTCCACACTTCACCAACAGCCCTATTTATTAATCCCTCTCTCTCTCGCCCTACCCCCTCCCTCCTTTCTCCCAGGTGAGCTACAGTATTCCCCTGCTGTCTTGCAGCAGCGCATGGCAGCAGAGCTCCAGTACTTAGAGTCCATTGAAGAGTCAGTCCGACAGCTGGGGGATGTGGAGAGGCTGATGGGTGTGTCCATGGCTCAGCAAGAGAGCGCGTCATTGGCCCAGATGCTCAAGGTGAAGAATGATTTTTGTCGCTGCGAGTAACAAAAATGTGTAGATAAGGACTATGAAGGAGCTCTGTGTCTAGCTGTGTCTAACACGCTTTCATAGCAGGAGTTTATGTATTATGCCATATTCTGATGCCACGCAGTGATGAATTCACATTTTGTACATAGCTTAATATTTTGATGATCGTCAGACAGCATATACTCTGTGTACTTTTATGTATAAATATGGTGAACATCTGTACTTGACATAATGTTTCTTACAAATGTGAATTACGCAATAGTATTTCCCAATAATTGTATTTATCCAGAACTTAAATTATTATTGATGCTGCAGAGCATTTACATGATAAATAAGAGCTTTTTGGGCTCCATAAATTTCAGTGACTTACTACCTCACTAATGTCTGTATTGATACACTGTATTGACCTGCTCTCTGATCTTTGACCCTGCAGGTCAAGCAGCAGCGCCATGAGCGTGACCTCTACGAGCTGAAGATCAAGGCTGAAAGGGAAGCCCTGGAGGCACAGCTACAGATGGAGGAAAACAGGCAGAGAGTGGCCAGGGTACGACACATGCACACATATACACACAGTTCATCAGTTTACTCTCACCAATGCTATATATGTGCATTTGTAGATGATAGATTTAGCGTTTGCTTCCCCGCCTTTTGAATTCCAAGGTATGAGTGCTTTTATTTTTCTAAGCTTATGATGTCCATGCTTAATTTTTCCAGGCTCATATTGAACTGCAGGAAAGCTTGGCTGGAACTCAAAAAGAGACTTTGGAGGGGCTCCAGGAAGCAACTACAAAGATGATGAGTCAACAGGCTGAGGCAGCACGGTACACAGCCGACACTGCCCGACACATCAAGGAGGTTAGTAATCACTGCCTTCAACTCTGCCTGGAAAACGTCCCGTGTCTTCATTTTGTAACAAAAGCTGATTGACTGTTGAGTTTCAGTAAAGATATAACAATAAATGCAGAGGAGGAAAGCGAAACATCCAGTGTAAGAGTCATCAAATCAATCATTTGATCTGTATATTGTGTTCTTGTCTGTCAGATGACTGAACTGGCTCGGTCACAAATAGCAGGAGCTTTGGTTGTCCCCCCCGTTGCCACCAATTCCTCCATGTTGGACAAGCGGGAAGAACAGGAGCAACAGGAAAAAATAGACTCTGACAGGTAAACTAAAAACACTTGCATACTGCATTTCATTGTGAATAAATTTACAAATCTCTAAACCCTTCTTAAAGGCTTCTTTGTAGATATGTATATGTGTGTGTGTATATATCACCATTCACCACTGCTCTAAATGTTTATGCTTCTTCTGCATACTCTCTTACAGCTTCCAGAGTGAGTTGTCAAGCAGAAGGATCAGGATAGAGGAACCCCTGTCTTCGCTGAACAGCCTTAGTCACTCTGACTCTCTATCATTCAGAAGACCCAACCTCAGGTACCAGTCATAGCTCTCATGTAGCACTACTTTCACTGTTTTCCATTACATTTGGGGAAAAGAGAATTCTAAAGAGACACTATATCTGTCCTTTGTCCACTTCCTCAGTGGAGTAGACTCTAATAGCCACCACAGCCCATCGCATGTCTCCTCGGACCTCAGAGAACGGACGAAAAAAGAAGCAGTCGAGGGGAAATGGAGGAAGGGAGGACAGAGGACGGAGAAGGAAGCCGTCAGCAGCTCCATCGAAGACGAAGTTCTTACAGCAGCAAATGGCTCCCTCTGCAGTGACAGCTTCCCTTCTGTAGTGGATGAGAAAGGTATTGTATGGCAAGCGCTTAGTTTTTTAACATGCTGTCACATAAGTGTCACCACAACTGTTAGAGAAAATGTGGAAACCTTATTGCCATCATTTAATCTGTACTAGAGCTAAAACTGTGTGTACATACAGGGCTACACAATAAAGTAGATACGGTTAAAGATTTGCAGTGTACACTGAGTGTCTCTTATTTTTGTCCCTCTAGGGGACAGTACTTCAGTGGCAACAGAGTACTCTCTTAAATTTGATGAGTCCATGACAGAGGATGAGATAGAAGAGCGCTCCTTCCGCTCTCTGCTGCCGTCTGAAGCGCACCGTCGTGGAACTAAGGAGAAGAAGTCCCGCCACCATGAGGAATCAGAGGACGATGGATCCAATTACAACACAACATTGGTTTCAGGGGCACACAATATCTTAAAGGTGAGAAGGCAGTGTTTGCCAGCACATAATGGAAGGATGGACCACTGATGCTATGATTTGTTCCCTAAAAAGAGTGACTACTTTATTTTTTTGCCTGGATGTTCCATGTTCCAGCATGTAGTTTGTGTCCCTCTTTACTTGTTTCTTGTTTTCCTTTGATCCCACTTTCAATCTCCTTTCCTTTTTAACTCGTCTCTTCCTGTGGATCTTTACTGTCACCCCAGTCTAACTCAATTTTTTCACCTTTGTTCTCCTGCAGTCTCAGGATGCAAACATGGCCTTTTCTGGTGGACAGGACAGCTTTTCCCAGTTCACCATGGACATGGTGCGTCAGTACATGAAAGATGAAGAGGTAAGACTGCAGCATCAGAGCTCTCTGCTGCGTCTTCGCCAAAAAGCTCTCAAAGAGAAGACCAGAACTGAGCTGGCCTGGCTAGAGCACCAGAAGAAGAGGCTGAGGGACAAGGGAGAGGATGACAAAATGCCACCTATTAGGAAGAAGCAGAGGGGGCTTCTGTTGAAACTACAGCAGGAGCAGGTACATGTCGGTGGAAACATAATGACATGAAGTAACACTTAACTCTGGGCTATACTGTAATCCTAATTACTAATTATTATTATTAACTTTCTCCCTCACTGTTTCCAGGCTGAGATCAAGCGACTTCAAGAGGCCAACAAAGCAGCCAGGAAGGAAAGGCAACTGTTGTTGAAGCAGCAGGAGGAGATAGAGCGGATGAGAAACTCAACACTGAGACTGAAGGAGCGTCTCAAGAGTGCTGGGGGTGAAGCACCACCTGTAAGTAGTGCAACAGTCACTAATCACACCCTATACGGAGGAACAGACAGTTTTAAGCAGTTTCATTTCAGTACTATTTGTTCTACAGAAGTAGAATCTTAACAGTGTCAAAGGAATATACTTGGCTTTACTAATAACTGGCCTGTGTGCATGTCCATTCACCCATCCTCCAGGAGACTCCTGTGTCAGAAACCCCTGTGTCTGAGGCAGCCTCCTCCAACATGAGACATGAGGATATCCGCAGCCCCTCCCCCTCGCTCTCCATCTCTGGAAGTGAGACGAGCAGTATCATGCAGAAGCTCAAGAAGATGCGCTCTCACATGGACGAGAAGTAAAGACTTTCATTTATTTTTTAATGTATTTATCTGGTTCTTTCCGCTCCCTGATCAGGTTTTCAGTTTGTTTGTTTTTTCTTACTCATTTTTTGCTGCATTTTGGCCCCTTATCACAATCTGAGTCCTTAATGTCTTGATAAAGACTTTGGAAATGCATAAAAGTCAAAAATGTTATAATTCAATACTTCTGGTCTTTACCTGAACTAGCAACTAACCTAATTAAAACTAATCAGTGCTTGCCATCTTTCTTTTGCTGTCTAAAATACTGGATGTGTGAGTGTGTGGATGTGAAGATAAGCATGCTCCATGTTATTCTCCCTCTGAACTAGACAAGTATCCTCTGCGACAGTATCCCTCTTAACTTCATTTTTATACAAACTATAACTAGACATTGTAGGAGAATCCGTAGTAAGAGAACATCAGACAATATTAAACTGTCCTAAATATAAATATAAATAACAGTATGTAATCTTAATACTGCAACTTTCAATTACAGAGGCATAATTATTTTCTACATAAGACAAACTGTAGGTTGTGTATTCTATCATTTATAGTACACCCACTTCCTTGTGTGTTGACTACTAACTACATGTGCTTGGAGTTACTGTAGGTCCTCCAAGGTTTTAGACTTGGCTAAGAGCTTTGGTCAGATGATTGTAGAGCCTCCCATGACCGGGTAGCTCCAACAAGTGGGTTAATTGTTCTGGGTTTTAGGATTTATAACTTGGTTATAAATCACAGGCCAATCTTCTATGGTAGCCCTTCAACAATTTCTACAGTAGTTCTAGATTTGTTTAAATTTATACAAGCAGCACAGTTTTGAATTGTTTGTGTTCCTATTTATTTTAATACATTATGTAGTTCAAAATCAGTTGTTTACATATTTGTGTCTGATCATACATTTATTGGCTTGTTTGCCATGACTATCAGTTGTCTCTTCCCTTCTCTCTGCTGTCACTGCTGTTAATCATAGCCAAAGCAAATGAATACTACATATTTAGCTTCACATACTAACACACTAATAAAGGTGTTATAGCTTCATCTAAGGCTGTAACTGTTACCTGGCACTGTAATTTGTTTAAGAACTATTGAATCTTGAGTCCCCCCCCCCCCCCCCCACACACACACACACACATACGCTCGTTTAAATGTTTGTTTTTCTAAAACATTTTTTAAAGTATCCATTTTCTAACCAACACCTGATAGACTGACACATTGGGTGCAATAAAACCACATTTGCTCATATCGCTCTTCTCTCTCCCTTTCTCTCTACGTGTCGTTTCCCTCTGTGTTTTAATGTGTTCCCCCCTCTTACATTTTGTGTGTGTGTGTGTGTGTGTGTGTGTGTGTTTTGTATGTTTCCATACCCATGTTTGTGTGACTCTTTTGACTTTGTTGCGTGCTTGTGTGTTGTAGACACTGTTCTCCTGTCCACTACTTCTTCTCTGTGTTCACGGCCCACCACTGGGCCTCCCTCAGTGTCTGTCTTCCCAACCTCCACCCTAAATTCCAGCTCTTTATCTACAACCAGTTGGTCAGGTACTGTACAGTGCTCTCTACCTCTTCCCCAGCACCTCCACCTAGCCCTGCCTCACCCCACCCCACCCCACCCCATGGAACATGCTTGTGTTCATCCACTGGCACTGGGCCCTTGTAGGGGTGGGATGGTGAATGATGAGTGATTGGATGTGTTGGGGTTTTGGATTTTTTTGTCTATTTTGAATTTCCAGGATGGAATATGTGGGGGGAGGAGTTTGATTGAAAGCTCAGGGAGTGCCCAAGGAAAGCTGCCTCGTTGAAATAAGCTAACCTATTGACAACTTCACTTTTAATATAATTACATTTTAATGCCACTGAATATACTGCTACTTGTGTGTGCATTAAAGCCCACTGGTTGTGGAGGAATTTTAAACAGAAAAGTGCTTACATTGAAAATATGAGAGATGTGATAAATTCATTTTTGTGAAAGTTAAAGGTTATGTTTATTTTAATAGGCGCCTTCCTTGTTGGGAATCGGAATATCAGACTCAGTGCTGTGATTTCTGTGGTGTTTGATTTGTGACTTTTCCCCTTGTTCTTTCTTGCCTCCTGAATGAACGACACAGTGCATCCCTCTTCAGTGTCTCTAATATTGTTGCTTCTGGCTGGTCAGCTCCTGCCCAGTCATCCATATAAAATGTTTTGAGATTAAACCGCACTATTACATGGAAGTAAAATACTTGCAGAGAACAGACCAGAGATAGAGTGGTCTATCTCTTCAATGAGACCAGTAAATCTTAACTAGCCCTCTTTATTAGGTAACTGTTGCATAGGATGGGATAATAAGTACAGATGGCCATTGGCTATAATAGGGTTTGGGAAGGCACTAAAAGAACCCACCAGCCTGGGTCTTCGGTATCTTGCCTGTCATCAGTATACATTAGGTCAAGAGAAAGGCCTCTAAATTAGATCAAGGCTAAATAATACTGCACTGTAATGGCACCCAAAGCTGTGGGAGACCACATTACACAACAGCTATACCTGACTTTATAAGCATCTGCAGAGATATGTATATATAAGAGGCCCAGTGTAAGTTTAGATTTAAGAATTAAAGATTGTGTTGGCTTTGCAAGACAACAGAAGCCTTGTGTTTGTGTCTCGTTAGCCTCATTGGTCAGGGGAGTACGGGTATTTGAGGTGTGTGTGTGACTGCACCCAATCAGTGTTCAACCCCTGGGTTTCAGTCTGATGCATGAATCTGACATCTTCACTGTTATTTTCCTGCTCCTCTTTTCTCCTGACTGACATGTCATCACTTTATGTTTGTCTATTCGATGGGTGCTCGTACACTTTTTTTATTTGGATGATTATTCCGGGGAAAGAAATAAGTAAAGCATGTACTGGGTACGTATGTGTGTATGTTTGCTTCTCTGAGTGTTGGACAGAGGCTTGAGGTGAGTTTGCAGTGATAACTGGATGTCCAGGTGATGTGGGTCTACTTGCTTCTGCTATGTCATTCCTGATGCTAAATGTCTTTGTCCTACTTCTTTTCTTTCTCCAATCATCTTCTTCCTGTATCTTCCCTCATTTCTTTACCTTTCTTGCCCCCATCTTCTCCAATCTCCCTTTTCAATCTCTCCTCTTTTCTCTGCTTCCTGATCTCTTTTTATTCTCTTCTCTCTTCATTCTTAACACCCCCTTCCCCAGGTTCCTGACGAAGCGGGAGCAGCAGCTAATGCAAAGACGTTACCATGCCGAGGAGCTGCTGCAGTGGAAACAGCGGCTGGACCAAGAGGAAGCAGAGGTCCGTAGGATGGAAAAGGAGGCCCTGGCTGTATGGGATAGACAAACACCTCAGGACAAGGACGTGGCAGAGAGTCAGAAAAAGGAGATCTCTGACATCAGCCCCAGCCCCAGTCACCATCTGAGCTCAGAGCCAAGAACTGACAGTGAAAAAGGTGAAGCAACAGGATCCTTGGGGGTTTTTGCCAAGTTTAAAGTCAAAAGCAAAATGAAACCAAAGTGGAATGTAGGAAATAAATCACAGTTTGGGAATAAGGTCGATCAATGTGGATGAAAATAAAGATGACTTCATGTTTATCTGTTTTACATGTTTTCAGAGTATGTGAGTGAGGGCGACTCAGCAACACCCGAGTCCAGTATACACACAGAGGGACTGGGGTCCCAGCAACCAGGAAGCCCATCCTCAGTACAACCTGCATCAATCCCTGAAACACCTTTGACCTCTGTCCAGAGTAGCCCTGCGAATTACACCCAGGACTTCTCTTCAGCTTCCCAGTCACCAAGTCACCAAGTACGCTTAAATGTGGTTTTCTTTCTTTGTTGTATTTCACGTTTAGTCCCATCTCTTTAGTTAATTTTGAGCATAGATAGTGCTAGTCGAATACTGACCTAAAGTTTGTTGTCATGAACAGGTTTCAGTCAACTTCATTCAAAAAAATTCTCTATTGAAGCTGTTGGGTTATTTGTAATTAAACTTTATATTGTGCCGGACGTGAAAGGGGGTAACTACACCATTGTTAGTTTACTGTACATGTAAAATATTAATACAGATATACCTCTATGAGTCCATATGACTGTGTTGTTATGTCCTCAAGTAATATTCATTTCTCTTCCCCTCCTCCTCCTTCTGTTCACTCTCTCCAGTCTCCATTTAAAGGCAGCCACAGCCCTGCTGCCTCTCCTTCAGACGGAAGCAGCAAAACCAAGATGCAGCTTCGCTCTTCCTCCTGGACCGCCAACCTGGCCCACGCTCAGCCAACTGACTCCCCAATGGCTATGCAGACTGGTGAGTTACCCAATGACTCAACACACAGACACTGAATATTTAACATTTTTGGACTGTATAGTGTAATAGTTCTTGATAGTTCTCAGAGAAGATATAAGGGGGAAGGCAGAGATAGTGGACATAATGCAGCTATATTGCTGGCACTGTGTAGTCAGGCATAATGTGATGCTGCCAGGAATACATTATGCAAGCACTTCCCTGATACCTAACCTGCTTAGCTGTGTGATAGGAGGAGAGAACACTTTGCATTGCACTTAGTTATCGCACAAGCAAAGACAGTTTTGCTGGCTTAGTATTGTAGCTGAATGCGTTTTATTCAGTTTGGGGCCACTGTTTAAACCTTTTAATCTTTCTAATGCCGTTTGTTCATTGCGTACAATCCAAAGCAACATGCACAAAATTTAACACTTTAACACATTCTTGGTAAAGAAAATGTACACTAATCTCCAAAGAATTGGGTTTGAGTTCAAGTGGGCACAAAGTTGGATTACTCTTTGCTAATCAGAGGTCTGGCACTGGTTTCACATTCTAACTGTGATTTATCATCTAAATTTGCCTTCAGAACCCATTTCAGACCAGAGTGACATAGAGAGCCGTATCAAGGCCCTGAAGGAAGAACTCAGAAAACGAAAGTTTATGGCCTACCAGCTGAAGAAAGAGCAGAAGAAGAGGCACAAGGAGCGTCTGAAGGCACAAGAGGCCAGTCTACTGAAGCAGCTGGAGGTAAATGTGGATGAGTGAGTGTGTGTGTATTTATCCATGTACCGTTAAAGCAGATTTCTTCATATCTTAACTGTTATTCATCTGTTTTTCTGTCAGAGCTATGATAACTTCATTGAGAAAACTAAAGCAGAACTGAACAAGGGGCCAGACTCAACACCTGATACAAAGTCCCCGATCAAAGATTCCACCTCAGTTGCGGAGCAGTCCAGTATTAAACTACCTACTCACAGGTATCAAAAATGTCACACTCTTGTGCCAACATATTTACTGTAATATAAGTTAGAAAAGATTAGTGTTTAATTAAAATCAAATCCCTCTTTTTCAGGTCTGAAACCAGCAAAATCTCTGACTCTGAAAGGATGCGAACTGATGCTTCATTAGACCACAGTGAGTAATGTACTCATCATAACCATTACATATATTTCTTGCTGTATTTATTTTAACGAATGTGTTGTGACATAGATGTTCCAATAATAATGTAACCCTTTCCTATTATGACAGATGCCCTTCCTCAACCTGATCATAGTAGATCTACCTCAGTGCCTGAAGAACTGTCTGATGAAGATCCACCAACAGTCACTCCAACCCCAGTGTATGGCAGCCCAGAGTGTCAGACCTCAGGACCGAGGAGCCACCTGTCCACAGAGGGGCTTATAAGACCTTCCTCTAAGGAAGACCAGGCACAGATTATTGAGTCTGGGGATGAGAACATTGAGTCTTATCAAAGATCTTACGTTCAGGAAGAGCTGGAGGTCGAAGTAAGCTCCAAATCTGAGGATCAACATTCTCAATATCTTCTCAAATTAGAAGAAGAAGACAGACTTGACTCCCAGGAGAAGCTGCCTACATCTAAACATGTTTCCTCTTCCATGAGTGAGGAACATCGATATTCTCCATCTGTTAGCCTGGAACAAGATAAACAAATAAAGACGAGGGAAACATCTGAAGCAGAGCAAGCTGTAAAATCTAATGCCTCTAATGGGTTACTTCCAGTTGCAGTGGACCTCAAACCCTCACCACATCCAAGCTACATCTCCTCATTTAGTGACCATTCCTACTCCCCTGACTCGGTTGCCTTCTCTTCTAAGAAGGAGGCACCCATAAAGGATGTGGAGGTCTCTTCTCCCATAGTGGAGGGTTATAATGATGACTTCGAGTCATCAGTATATTCTTCACCCAGGGAGGAGCATCATAGTTTCAAGCCTGCCTCTCAAATCTCAGTTTCGCCTACTGACATCAAGGCCTCGAGAAAGGACTCCTCTCCCCCTCTCTATGACAGCCAAGATGAGGAGGTAGAGGAAGAAATAGCTGAAGAACTGAGTCACCATTCAGGGATTAGTGGAGCTAGCCACCAATCTGGACGACTGCTAGATCTTCATAACCAAACAGAAGACTCCAAACATGACAGCAAGGACATTATTTCCAGCCACTCACCACCCATCTCTCCTATGCAGACCCCGCTCTCTCCTGTCATAGATGAAATGTCAACTTTTAACATTGGAGATCGGGTTCTTGTTGGTGGCGTTCAGCCTGGCACTCTGAGATTCAAAGGTCCTACCAGCTTTGCCAATGGTTTCTGGGCTGGTGTAGAGTTGGATAAGTCTGAGGGGAGCAACAACGGCACTTATGATGGGGTGGTGTACTTTAATTGTGATGAGAGCCACGGTATCTTTGCTCCCCCAGACAAGATCACACACCTGCCAGACAAGTTTGAGATCTACACCGACACCACAGAGGATGAGGACTCATTCTTTGATGATCTCTCAGATAAAGGTGGGGATAAACGTAAAACAGATGAAGACAAATCCCAAAAAGAAGGAAATCTGAAGAGTGAAAATGAACAAACAACTCATAAGGTCTATGGGTCTGGAGATAAAAAGGTTACAGATGAGTCTGTTCACAAGGCTGAATCCAATCTCAATTCACATAATTACAACGAATCCAAGCATCCCATCTCCAATGGCAACTCTAGAGACATCATTTTGGATTTTGAAGATGCACCAACCACCCTCCTCATCTCCGACATAGACAAGATCTGCCTGGGGAAGCAGAGTCAGAAGGAGATTACTACCATTGAAGAGAGAGAAGACGTGGACTCACAACACCAGTTTACTCCTGCAGATCTCACAGATATCGGGGACGATAAGGGACAGCAGAAAGACAAAGACATACTGGACACATTTGCAGACAAGCTCCTAAACAACTTTATGAAAGACACTGTGAAGCAGTTTTCTGAAATTAAAAAGGCTAAAGAGCAGAAGATAGAAGCTGCCAACCAGATGAATGGAGACCTGTTTGGTGAAAATGAAGAATGGTTCTCTTCAGTGGATCAAAAAGATGGTCTCCCCTTCTTCCTGCCTGCAGAAAAAGAGGAGCTGTCTTCTCCAGAGCTGTGTAACCGACCGGTGAGTGTGTATTTCTGATTCTTTAGTAACCTGTTAATAATAACGGTATTTTATATCTATGTATTTTATATCAAAGACATGAGTAGATTTATCACTATAAGTGAACAAAAACAGCAAAATGTACTGTATATGATTGAACTGTGGAATTTTTATTGTTGGGAAATACAGAAGTTACTGACCAACAGTACGTGTTGATTTGACCTGGAGAACCCTTGTTGTTTGTGTGTTCAACCAAAGTCCAACTTTATGTTGACTTTAGAATTTGGTTCTCTGTACTGAAAACCTATGTGTCTAAAACATCGGAAAGAAAAATACTAAATCTATGTATCAATGTAAATCCATGGTTTATAATCGGACTTGTTCTGTTGTGTTTCTGGATAGACGCATTTATGGAATGTTCTAATCTAAAACTGGAAGTCAGCATGAAATTAACTTCTTCCTGTATTTCTTTCACTACAGGAGAGTCCAGTGTTGGGGGCCAGCGGTCAAGAGGAGCTCGCCAAGCGACTAGCAGAGCTGGAACTGAGCCGTGAACTGCTAGATGAGCTTGGTGACGATGAGGACTGGTTTGATGAAGACTTTGGCCTCAGCTCCCGTAGAGAACAGCAGAGACTCAAACAGAAAGAGAGAGAAGAAGAGGAAGAGGCGAGGTTGGGGAGGTCTGGCTCATCAGCTGGAGCTGCCTTGGGGGGGCTAGTCTCACCAACAGGTGGGGAACAGCAGGTAAAGACTCCACCTAGACCTGAGTTACCTCTGCCCTTGCCCCCCAAACTCCCTGAGCAGCCTGCCATGGTGGTGCCCCACTCAGCCATAGAGGTGGAAAAGATGGTCCATGCTGCCACTCAGGAGATCTGGGAGAGCTGTGGCCTGGGGAAGGAGGGAGCACTGACCCTAGCACAACTGCCAAACCCCAAACCTTCACAAGAGTATCTGGGTAAAGAGGCCAGCAGCCAGGACCAGGAGGCCCTCTCCATCTGCAGCTACAGAAAGGTGAATATGACAACTTTCAAAACACCTCGTCTGTATAATAAAGACAGCCATACAGAAACTAAATGCAAGAACTTAAAAAAAACCCTATCTGTAAAATCGAAAAGAAAGAAGACAAGCATCCTTGACTTGCTTTTCATTAGGGTTGGGTACCATTCACATTGGAACCAGTAGCAGTACCCAACGGTACCTTTTTCTGTGCAAAAATGTAATTAAAGTTGTAAAAAATAAGTCCAAACTCCTGTTGCTGTTGCAGTGCTTGCGTACTGTAATATTTCCCAGGAAAAAGTGCAACCTGCGTACTGTTGGTTTCACATTAAGGTTTCAGACTTACTAAAAAATGTCACACAACCCTACATAATATTCACAATAATCATTGTCGAGTTGATCAACACACTTTCTAACCTCCATCCATTATAACCTAAAGAGCAAATCTAACCAGGGTACCTTCGCAATTACATTTGTGATTTTACACAGGCATACTAATCTAATATTAACCTCTTACTGGAAATCATGAGGAGAGGGATGCACTGACTCTGGTCTGTCTGTCAACCAAGACAGTCATAAATGCCCTGTTATCTCCAGCAAAAACGTTGATGCCTGACTTAAAGTTTTGTCGTACGTGTAGAGTTCAACTTCGGTGCTGTGTGGCTGCTAACGTTATACTCCTCAGTTTTTAGATATATTTCAGGTTTGACCAGGTGTGTCCTCCGATTAGACGTGTACCCTGTCCAGCTTTGCATTTTGCATTTTGCATTTCACAGTCTGCGTGCCCTGACGCACTGTGACTTGAACAGGCTGTAGGCTCTCTCTCTCTCTATACTCTCCCTTACTTTCTCACCCGGATGCACTCTCAGGTACTGAAATTTGGCACCGTTTAATTTAACGCAAATCTGTGCTTGGTGATACCAACGTAATTCAGTCGGTACCCTTGAAAGTACAGTTTGATACCCAACTCTACTTTTCATCCCCCTACCAGTCATGCAGCACACAGCTGTCCTGTTTCAGTTGTACTAAGCAAATAGCAGCTGTAGTCTTGAAGACAGCACTTACTCTGGGTGAGTTCCAGGTGAATTTCCAGTATACAGCAGTTTCCTCTCAACATTTTCAAAACTACACACAGTTCAGACTTCAAGCTCTTGCTCCAGATATTGCCTCAGTTGGTCAGTTGCTTTGCTTATCTCACTCATTTATGTTCATCTAACATGGGATTACTCAGCCTGAGAGACTCATCCACTGCAGCTTTAAGCTCAGTTTTATGTAATATTACATATTTAAGTATCTTATAACTCTGTCATTTCCTAGGCTGTGTATGACCTGACATGGGAGATGCTTCAGGAGATCTATGCTGAAGACCCCAACACCAATCAGCCTCAGTGGGTCAAACCACGTCGAGTCAAGTCCTCCTTCTTTCATAGAGTTAAGACACCAGGAGACATCACCAAAATCCAGGTACAGTACTGCAGAAAGAGAGGCTACATTAATGTCTGAAACACACCAACCTTACCCTTACTGTTTGCTGATTGCTACTATATTTATATTTTAAAATTCTAACTGCTTTACCCTAAAGACAGCCAGGGTTTTAGTATATAGTTGGACCTTCAACTGTTATAGCAGTTAGAATAAACAAACTTTACAATCTAACTTTGTTAATTAAACTTGGTTATTATTTTTATGAGTGCAGCTTACTAAAGTGTTTTTTTTGTCTGTATGTACAGTTAAAAAATTCAGGGTCAAAATATTGGAATTCCATGCTTCTTACCCACTGGATATGCGCATGCTTTTTTTTTTTTTACATTGTGCACCAGGAATACATCACCGGAGAAGTACTGAAACTGTACGGTCTGACAAAAGATCAGAGCCAGAAGACTGACTGGCAGAAGATGCTCAAATTTGGCAGAAAGAAGCGGGACAGAGTGGATCACATACTGGTAGGCCACAAATTAAATGTCTCGGGGGTTTTGGACTTGATTTTAAAGGACATCAGTTTGACCCTGTTTATCTCTCAGGTTCAGGAACTCCATGAGGAGGAGGCCCAGTGGGTCAACTATGACGAGGATGAGCTGTTTGTCAAGATGCAGCTGGCAGACAGCATCTTCGATGCTTTACTGAAGGACACAGCAAATGTACTGACACTAATCTATGATAAGAGGGCCAAAAGAGACACCCTCTCCTGACAGCTTTCCTGCTTAAATTTTAAAGTACAACCTCTAGCTCAATCCTAGCCTTTCCTCACCCCAGTGAACTCCAGCCAACCTACCGCCGCTCGGTCTTCCACCAGCTGATGTGCCAACAGCAACCCTCAGATGCCTTCGGTCCCAGCATTACCTCTCAGTTTAACAGCTCCTACTTATTTCTGTGACATTCATTTGCTGAATTTGCGTCAGCTAACTATAGTGGTTATATAATTTGTTCTACACACACAACGCCTCTTGATCAATCCAGCCTTCTTAAACGGTAACACCATCTAGTCTCAGTTCTCACCTCCTGGACTGGTCCCTTTGTAAATGCCAGTTGGAGAATGAGTAGATGTTTTGATAGGATGGACTGTGCATTTAAAGTCGATTAATGCTGCTAAGTTGATTGTTCCACATGGGATGGTAATATAAAATCCACCTGGAACAAAAGCAGGTTGTTATATTTTGTATTGAATCTCAAAGTAAATATATATGGATTCACAAATTGTAATAGAGTAGCAGATAAAGAATACACAGTGTAGTCCATAAGTGATTTGACAGTGACACATTATTGTGTTGGCTTTTGTAATCCAGCACATCGAAATTAAACAATGACTATGTGGTTAAACTTTTAGCTTTAATTTAAGGGTAATCACCCCTCATATTGTAGGGGTCTGTAAGCCTGCCTTAAATGAAAACCTAGTTGAAGTCTGACCCACAGAAACAGCAGACAGTGCAGCCATCTTCACCTCTTACTTGTTTCCAGGACTTTTGCCTGCACTTTGGTCTTTAGAAAGCACAAGACACGCTCAATTGTTTGCTTTGGCTTTATTTTAACATCATTTTCTTATGGCTGCATTATCTTAAAATTGGGAGACTTATGTTTAGGGGGAAAAATCCATAAATGTTCACTCAATATGGATATGAACACCCTAAAACACCCTTCAACTCTATAATTATTGTTGGATTTCAAATCCAATGTGCTGGAGGAGAGGTAAAACAATTTACATTTGTCACTGATCAAATATAGTAAGACTGTACTGTGGCTGAGATCAGATATTGTATGAAACATTTTGCCTCCATAATTATATTATTTATTGTGTGAAAATGTTTGATTCGAGGAGTAAGGAACATTTTGAATTGTAAATGATCTTACGTAAAGAGAACAGATTTTTAACATCTAATGAAATTGTAAAAAGCACAAAACAGAAATGTGAATGTGAACATGGCAATATATTATGTAGGACGTTTAAAGAATGCTATTGAAACAAGAAAAAGAACATGGGGGGAAAACTTTTAATATTTAAATGTTTTAGTGTTGCTAGTTAATTGAAAGTGACTAATTGTGGCCACAGCTGTCCAGCTGGTCAACACAATCACTGTGACCCACTTTTGTACTATATGTTAGTATTTTTAGACATACACCCTCCTTACTAACAGTTTGAAAACTTCTCACACAGCAAGGAGAGAAAATGTTTCTCCAACAATTTGCAGTTTATTACCTTTTTCTGTGCTGTAACTGAGGTTTTTTCAACTTAGTTTTTCACTTTTTTTGTGTTAGCGTTAGCTTTGAAGAACAAACAACACCATGTTCAAAATGCGCGTACTTTTAGTATCCATGCTATTATTTTTTATTTTTTATTATTTCATTAGGTAATTTGAGTGTTAATACACTACATACTAAAAACACAGACTATAGAGTATATAGTATACAAGTGGGACACAGAAGACTAGCAGTAGGCCTGACTTGAATCACATCATAGGACAGTACTGAAATGCTGGATTCGAGCCTTACTTACCCTACAGTTTGTTTACTTTCAATGACCTGAGAAAACGCCTGTGGTTGTCTTGTGTCTTTATCAGTTGCCCTGGTAAAGGTTGCTCGCTGAACATTTACCCCAAAAGTAAAACAAAAAACAACCATATAGTCTTGTAGCAGCATGGTTATATGCTCCACTTGCTCCTGTGAAACATTTGGCTTTACAGCAATCAGCAAGTTCAAACCAGCCATCAGAATGTAGCTTGGTGATTTGTTTAGACAGAGGTCTTTCTCAGCATTCAGTTCAAGTGCCTCTTTATGTTGAGTTGTCTTTCACTTTGTTGATGTCTCAACATCCTTTGGACCTATTTTCTTTGAATGTCTCTTTCAACTGCTGTATACTACCATTTTGTAAATGACCCTTAAATGACTGCTCTTCCTTCTAACTGGTTTGGCGGTACTTCAGTTTCTGCCTTATCAATCTTTCTGTATCCAAGTATAGTTGAGAACGTTTTATTTTTTGTTTTTTAAACCTTCACACTTCCCTGTGCCTCCGCCTGAGAAAATGTTGGTAATAATTGTTGAGTGAGTTTAAAATGTCACCTGCTTCTTGTCCATGGCACCCTTGCATCCATGCATATAGACACAGTTGAGTAATTTTATTGATAAACTGTATCAGGAACCAGTTTGTGGACACACCACACACACTCCCACAGACAGTGGCAGTCATAGTGCTGACTGAGCACGTAGGACTGTATCCAAGGGCTTACTTTGGTCCTTACTGTCAGTGCTGCTTTAATCTGAAAAACAGTGTACAAGTCATTGTGTCACGTGTGACAGAGCTTGTTAACTTTCTCTGACTGTTTGGAGCTAAAGTGACCTTAAACTGAGTACTTGGTCTTTTTTTTCTACCTTCAGTGTTTTAGGAGTTGCTTAAGGTGTATGTATGTTCAAACTGTAAATTATATAATGTAGAAAAAAGACCAAAAATATTTGACACCACCCTCTCCAATGCTGTATGACTTGTATGTCTGGTCTGTAGGCATATGTAACTGTACTGGTGACACGATTAGTAACCTTAAAAACACTTTCTGCAAGGCTTTATTGCGAACTCTTAAGGATTGTCCTCTTGAATTGATTGTATGTGGGAGGAAGTTCCCCTCTGTAACTATGCAGTACTTGGTCTTATGCATTGTTTTATATGTGTGGACCAAACGGCTTCGACTTTGGCTGTCGTCTGTGGAGTAAATGAACCTTCAGGAAGCTCGGAGCTGTTGGGTGAAGGGTAGAGTTGATCTGAATTACTGAATTGGAACAGAAGATTTGATTATCAAATGAACCCAGTCAGAATAGATTTCCCGTTCCATCTTTTGAAATGTTTATGAATATTTATAATAATGTGCTGTGAGTGCGCGCCGAGTGCACTCGAGGACTTGTACAATTCTTTTATGGGTGTAAATATACTGTCTAGCCAATCTGACCCACTGTTACTGTAACCTAAATGATTGTTGTAAAATAAACACGGTTTACTTTGCAAATATGTGCATAGTATATATTTGTTAACTAAATGAAATTGTAAATAAAGCTTTCACTGTTTGTAAAGGAATGCTGACTGTGAGTGTGTTCTTGGTTTGTCTGCAGAAGCTACCTGACAGTGTTGTTGCAGCACTCAACAAATCTCTGATGTTTAGGTTTGTGACTGAAGGCAGGTTTATAAATCTAGTATTTTGTGTTTGGATGTGGTTGTGTGAGAGTTTGACAGTGTGTCAGCTCACATTAACAGCACTATACTTGATGTATACAAATGTTTGTAGAAAGAAAACGGTAGGTTACAATTTTAAAGTGCAATAGGATTAAAGGTTTTTACTCTTAAACTGACTGCAGGGTTGTAAGCAACTACTGAGGATGCTGAATACACACATATTGCACATGGCTTATATTTATTAATAAACCTTAAAATATTTTTACGCATAACAAAATATTATGTTCAAAATACTAAATAACATTTGTGGAATTTGTGGGGGGTTTAATACACAGAAATACCCCTGTATGTGTCAGGTGGGTGTTGTGCTGGAGGAATTTGAACTCATCACCTCAGTATTTCTAAACATCCTGGCTGGTTGACAGGTCTTTTAACACAGGACTGAAGACATGACTATAACTGCTACTGTAAACTCCATCCTCTGAGGAAGACCCCAAAAAACACAGTAAGTGGACCTTTAATAAAGTTATATATATATATATATGTGTGTATATATATATGTATGTATATATACACATATATATATATATATATATATACACACATATATATATTATTATTTTTTATTTTTATTTTTTTCACTCAAACTCATGGTTAACTTTTTACGCTCAACTAGTTTTCATGTTAAATAACTTAAGTCTAAATAATATTAATATTCATTAAACGGTTATTTCCTGTATGAGAGCCACGTAGGAGCAAAAATCTGTCTGCCTATCAACCTACCAAATATTCATATCAGAGGAAGAGGAGGGGGGGTGTTACTTTATTATGAGTGGTGATTTTATGAGGCTGCAGGACAGGGGGAGGACCCAGTGCTCAGGAAAAAGGAGAGGGAGAAAAAGTTGTGAGAAGTTTTCTGGAGGAGGAAACTCCGACAGACCGACGGTTCGCGGAGGCAGCTCGGACGGGGAAGATGGCGCGGCGCTGCGGCCGTGCCACGTCTCGGTTTACGGGAGAAATACACATATATCCCAGACGGACAGCGACTTTTGCGGTTTGGTTGTGTTTGTGTCTCGTTTTTCCTCCTGTCGCGGAGGCTGGACTCTACTCCGCTTCTGACCAAGTCATCCTGTTAACTCCGGATAATGTGGACTCGGTGTTGGTGAACTCCACAGCTGCTATAGTGGCCGAGTTTTACGCTTCGTGGTGCGGACACTGTGTCGCCTTTTCTCCGGTTTACAAAAGTCTGGCCAGAGACATTAAAGGTTGGTACGGACATGCTGCAAGTCACGTAGCTGCAGCTGTTTACAATGAAGTTAGAGTATTAGTCCTAATTTACTCTGTATTGTTTGTAGTTATGCACATTATAAACCAGTTGAATAGCCTGTAATTAATGTGCTTCTCTAGCTTTAATGTTGCCAAGGTTACATATTGTATTTTTCTTATCATCTGCATGTTGACTGTGAAAGCAGCACGCTGTTGTTTCTATCTGTTAATTAGAGCATGTGATCTAATTGAATGTCTTTTTTTATTTTCTGCTCAGCACTGTGGCATCTCATCCTCCCAACTGTGTCTGTGGCTCATGAGCCAAAAGAAGCATAACAGGGCCACGAGAATAAACATAATTAGGATGATAGTCAAGGGCAAAGTTTCTGATGATGGCAGGAGGCCTGACACAGTCATGGGGTATTTCAGTCCTGTGTTTCACTCTCTCTCTCTCTCACTCTCACACACACACACACACACACAGAGTCAGTCTCTTGGCATGCTGTCAGGCGCCTCTGCTTCAGAGTTAGGAGGGTCATCCAGTTGATATTTAATCAAGTCAAGACAAGACAAATTAGGATTACATGCAGCTATCATGGGAATTCTCAATAGATAGAAGTGTGAGTGGACAAAGTAAGGATTTACTGTACAGGATTATTTTCTTTCCTCACAATACTGGTGCACATACTGTCTCTTTATTCATATACTGAAGTGCAAACTAGCAAACATGGCAGAAGGACAACTTGGGACCCCGTCCAGTGTCAGTAGAAGGTACACTAAATATTTACTGTGTCTCTCTCCCTCTATTTGATGTCCGTTCTGTAGAGTGGAAGCCAGCTGTGGACCTGGCAGCTATCGACTGTTCAGCAGAGGAGAACAGGAAGGTCTGCGTGAGGTTCGGCATCACAGGGTATCCCACGATAAAGGTATTATACAGAATATATACTGTTCACACACTGGCCAACATACTATAGGATACGATAATCATGTTTGCTTGTCTTATTTTAACTAATTTTATAGTATTGTTAATTATTCAAATACTTATTATTATTATTATAACAATATGATTCACAGGGAAATATAAATATTACTATTAGAGAAAATAATACATTAGAACTACACCAGACTGGATTAAGATACATCCCATTTCTTGTCCCTTTAGCTACATGCTACATTTTCTGAACTGACTATTAAATGAATGTTCACAGTTTATCGTGAACATGTCCACGAGCTTCCCCTTTTTCAACACTCAAACTGTATGTTTGATTTTAATTAGCACGTAGTGTAGAATGTGCATAAGCATGTGTGGGAACAAAACACTTCTACTTGCAGCTACTTCACAGAAGTATTTGGTAAACCAGAGTTACATTTCATTTGTAGTGAGCAGGCTTTATCCTGTCTATTAGTGTGTTTTAGTTAACTAGTGATCATTTCTTAAATGGATTTGGATGTTTTTTATATTTCCTAAGCCATAATAAATAAACACTAAAATTCCTGTTTTCTGTATTTTCTAAAATATAATATGTTGATTCTATAAACAAAAATAACTTCAAACTAGTAACTTCTGTAGGATCCATGTTGGAAAGTTATTATTCCGTCAACAAGGGGCTTTCCTCCTTGTCTCAGTGATAGTATTATCATTATTATCATCATTCACTGTCATTTTGTGCATTTAAACGTGTTTGGATGTCCTTTTCAATGTGACACATTGTGTAAGATACTGCAGATGCAACAGTTTATTCCCAGTTAACTTTTGCAGCCGCGCTGCAGAAACGCCCAAGCTTGAAACATCTGCATTTGTATTTGTAGCCTATCTGACTTGTCAGCAGTAGTGTGTGTGTGTTTAAGACCGCCCTCAGTCCATGTATCTCCTCTCTGTCATCCAGTGAAATCCAATGAAACAAAGAGCTCCTTCTGTTTGAACACACAATGGAGCTTTAACATCTGCGACTCATTTTAACCAGGAAGGATTTAAGGGTCAAGGCGGGCAGAGGGGAAAGTCACCCCCCTCCCCACCCATACCCCCACCAAACATTACACAACATCACTTTGCTTCTCTCACGGTCGTGTGAGGGCCGTCTCATCTGATCGCACTTCTCTATTTCTATCTGCTTCCTGCGCAACCTAAACCCGCTCTCTCTTTTCACTTTACAGTTCTTCCATGCTTATTCCAAGGATGATTCTGAAGAGCTAACTTTTAAAGGTACGACTGCACACACGGACGCAGTTCAGGCCAATAAAAACAAATTGTCTCTCATAAAGACGTTTCAACAGGCATCATGTCAGAGTAGGAATATGCATACTGATCATAGTGTCATCAGATTAAAATTAAACTGATTATCAACCTTTTGCCAGGTATTTTATGCTTTAGTTTGGCTCACTTTAGTCACATTTGTAATACTGCAGTTATCTTGGGAGTTGTTTGTATACATGCTCAAGTGGTCATTAGTGTTTTTTTTTTTAGTGAATGATAATTGTTTTTGATGATCTTCCAGCTTTCCCTCGTGATGTTCGGGGGCTCCGTCACAAGATCATAGACACACTTGAAGCCCATGAAGATCCCTGGCCCCCCGCCTGCCCCCCACTGGAGCCTACCAGGTAAACACACACACACACACACACACACACATTTTCACTGTAGGAATTTAAACAGAATTCCCTCTGTTTATGATCTGTCTGCTCTACTGATGACATGGACTTCATTAAAATATGTATATTTTACAATGTTAACGCTTTTGCAGTTGTGTTGCATAGTAGGAAGCTGTGAACTTTATGTCCATTCATCAATTTTTAAACAAAATTAGGGATAGAAATTGATAAGATTTTATCAGTTTGATTCCTTCCTTATTGATTTCTGATCAATTGGAAAACGTTGGTCTACACAGGACGTCGTGAAAAAACATGCTTGCATTTATTAAAGGAATTGATAAACTTATTGAAATACGATTCTAACTAGTTCTCAACTGGAACTGGTTCTCGATTCCCATCCCAAGACTAAATCTAAGTGAATCCATATTTTTTCTCACACTTTGTGCTGAGCTGAGGTTTCTTTTTGTTCATATAATCCCACAGTTGTGTGAATTATATTCCCATTAGCTGCAGTATTTCTTCTATCCGTTGTTTCAGGCTTGTGCTTTTGTTGCTGTAGAAACCCATATTTCCAACATGTTGCAACATTTTATCTGACCTCATCTGCACTGTTAGAATAGAAATAAAGCAATGATTACTCAGTTTACTCAGTCAGTCTATAAGATTGAGAAGAAGAAAATGTGAGGCACTGATGGGCCATGTTTCCACTAAGAAGAGTCTTCTTCAGGCCATCTGGCTCTGCAAACACAACTGTATTCAGACATACAGTCCGTGCAGCTTATTACAGTGGTGATGCAAGAAAATGACACAGGAAGTCAATGCTATTTCTCTTTTTAACTTTAAAGGGGACGTACCATCTCTCGTGAATTTGACCCATCATGCTTTCTTGCTTCACAACAGATATTCCTAATTTCAACTCTTCTTTTCTAAAAAAATAATATATCTCACTGAAGTACAGTTTTAATGTGTATGATCGTGGGCTTTTGATATAAAATAGTGTGGTGCGAGGATAAAGTTGATCCAAGACAACTAAACAAAATCAGTAAAAA